AATCAGCTTCTAAGTTTCAGCTTGTTCAATTAAGCTTTCAAAAAAACAATCTGGAAGCAGATTGGTTTCTATGCAGAGCTGCACCACTCTCTATATTATAGTAAATCAATTCTTATATGCCCAACAATTTGCCTGAACCCTACCATTCATATAATTGACTTTTGTGTCATCCTTCTGTGCATCCTAGCTGAGTCTACGATACATCACAAACACCCTACCCCCTTATATGACTCTAATACCGCTTCTTTGCTTCTCTTACAATCTTTCCTTGCCACCTAGTGCGCTTTTGTTTTCCCCCTTACATCACCTTTAATGTTACTTGATATGTTGATACATTTCTCCGAAGGATCTGGAGTCACTTTGGTATACTTAACACCAACCCACGTAACCATTACCTGTATTGAGTGTTCTTCAAATAAAGAATGTTATTGTAATTATAATTTTTAATTTGTGAACAATGTTTATCTTTTTTAGTAATATTGAGAACAAAATTATTCTTGTATAACTGGCTTATTCTTCAATTCCTATTACAATATGTGTGGGTTTTTTTCTTATTAATGCAATGATTTTAAACATAGTGTGAGACAAAAGGTACACACTATAAATAAGGCATTCACTTTTTTCTTGGATCTACAAAAATCTTTTGTATTTATGTGTTTCTCTTTATGATGTAGCAGACAAAGCAGATTGCCAGATTTACATTGGAGCCAGTAAAGAAACTTGGACTGGGAGAAATGCGGAGGCTTCAGTTGCTGATCTGCTTCTGGAAATATTAACCGCTTGGCTGTCATGCTGATCCAATCTCTACAATACCTCTTAGTCACTAATGTGGAACAAGCATGCAGCAAGCAAAGTCAATATTTCTGATCTTCCTGCATGCTCCTTGTAAGTGAACCAGAAACTGAACGACCGAATTAACTAGCAAATGGAAAATAAGCAAGGCAGCTGTCATATTTCTCTCTCTACCAGTTTTTACTTAGGTGACCAACATCAGCCTGAATTCAATGTACAATGCAATAACCACATCATGCCTTGTAATTCTCACTCTCACTTTCTCCACTCTGCAGTATACAATGCTGTGTGGCCAGGTTCCCTTTCAAGGTGCAAGGAGTGGCTCTCCTCAAAGCCGTGCTGCTGATATCATTAACAAGATTAAGGAGGGAGATTTTGTTATGCAAGGCGAAAGCTGGGAACATGTGAGCGATGAAGCCAAGGAGCTTGTTAAAGGTATGGGGTGCTGTCCTAAGCTTTAATCAGTGAGGCAGACATTTCATTAAGGTGAATGATAATATAATTCTTTAGAAAATTATTCTTTTGAGTCATTGTTTAAAAGACCATGTGTTTTTACATTTTACTTTTCAAACACATATACTTTAAAACCTTAAACCTGTGTCAAAGCAATAGGTTTAACCCAATAAACAAACCTCCCCTCCCCATTACCTCCTCAACACCAGATACCTACTTTTCCTTCACTCCCCCTCTTTTTCATTTAGCCACTAGGAGAGGAAAATGTACGAGGGGTAACTGAAAAGTTCTCAGCCTACCCATGAAGCATTTGTCTTAGCCCAATTTTATTTTTGCTACTCATAGTACATATCTTTGCAAGGTTCCATACCAAATTTCTTACAAATAGCTTTTTCTTTGTTTCAGTTATTGAAGACTGAAGCGCAGAAGGTCATCATTGTCTGAAAGATGGAGAAAGTGAGCAAACGTACTGTTATCCAGTACCTGCTGAAAAAGGGAATGAGTGGACAGGACATCCACAAGGACATGGTGGAAACATTAGGGGAGGATGCCCCTTCCTATTCCACCGTTAAAAAGTGGGTGGCGGAATTTAAGAGGGGGAACCCTTCTGTCCAAGATGCCCCTCGCAGTGGAAGGCCAGCAACTGCCTGTACGAGGAAAAACATCACAGCAATCCAGGATCTCGTAATGGCAGACAGGCGTGTGACAGAACGTTTCATTGCAGAGAAAGTGGGCATATCCCAGGAATGTGTTGGACACATTTTAACAGTAGTGTTGGACATGCACAAGGTGTCAAGTCGGTGGGTCCCGAGAATGTTGACTGTTGAAAAGAAACACATCAGACAGTAGGTACTGGATAACAGCACGTTTGCTCACTTTCTCCATCCTTCAGACAATGATGACCTTCTGCACTTCAGTCTTCAATAACTGAAAGAAAGAAAAAGCTATTTGTGAGAAATTTGGTATGGAACTTTGCAAAGATATGTACTATGAGTAGCAAAAATAAAATTGGGCTAAGACAAATGCTTCATGGGTAGGCCGAGAATTTTTTAGTCGCCCCTTGTAATGTCCAAGTCACTCCAGTTGGAGCTGCCGTCATGCTGTCACACATTGCTCCAAACCTGGATTTACTGGGTATGTTCTTCATTCCTGGCAGTTGAATAGAGTGGTGTTCAAGTGAGAAAAAAGTGCTTTTGGGGTGGTGGGGATTAAAGAATTGTAAAATGTTACTTTTTATATGCTTGCTGTTCTGTATTTCAGTGACTGCATTGCACATACAATACAACACTACAAATTTAAAGTGGTTGTAAACTCTGTTTTTAAATTTTCATACAGGTAAGCTTATAATAAAACTTACCTGTAAGTAAAATGAATATCTCCTGAACTTGCACCGTTATAGGAGATATTCTCTCTTCTTTATTCCATCGCATGCGCTCCGAAGGAACGACATACCCATCCCGTTACTTCAGAGCTGTGTGCCGTGGACTCCCTTGCACATGCGTCATTGCGGCCCGGCCTGTCTGAATGCCGGAGCTCGCAAACCTGGAAGGAAGACGGGTGCAGATGGAAGCCTCTATAGCGGTGACAGCATGCTGCTGGAGGGCTTCGTTTTAAGATAAGTTTTACATAATGTGCTTGTATGCATTGCATACTAGCACATCATGTCTTTACCTTGCAGGGGACTTTTTTTTTTTTTTTTGTAATGAACGCGGTTTACTACCGCTTTAAAAGATTGTCCCTTTGGTAGTTATCTGTTTTTCACTTTGGTTCCTTTAGACTGTACTAATAGACATATCTACCACATATAGAAAGCAAAGCCAACATTTTTTTCATCTTGAAAATCCTTTCATTATTTTTATACACTATGTAATATTTTTAAGATTCACAACATATGCTGTGAAACCATTAAATAATATCCCAGTATGAATTTCTACATAAAAGTATACAGCAAAAAAACACATCATTAAAAACACCCATCATTCAACCAGGCCCAGCATCCGCTACAGCGCCATGGCACACTTTGTGTGGTGCACTTTGTTTAGCAGACAGATAATCATCCCCACCATAAAATTGCTAATTAGTTGTGTTTGTCTCCAAGTCTCCCCTCGCTTTAGTCTTCCCTTTTCAATAATGCATGGAGATGGGGATAACTAAGATGAAATTTGACCTGTTAAATCTCAGCTATTGAGTACTGGAGTTAACAGCCATTTGTGATTCTGCATTACAAATAGAGAACTATGGAGAATGAGATAGACATTTCCACTGGGGTATTATTCAGTGGTTTTACATATGTTGAGAAACGTAAAAGTTAGAATAGTTTTCCTTACCTGTAAACCTTTTGTGAGTTATAACTTTGACAACATATTCAAACTTTCACCAACAGGGGATGCCATATTACAAAAAAACCTGTTTGACTTTTGACTTCTCTTTTCAGGTTTGCTTACTGTAGATCCCTCTTGTCGGTTGAATCTCAGTGAACTCAAGGAAAGTGAGTGGCTGTGCGGAGGTCGTCCACTGTCCTCAACACCTCTCATGACACCTGATGTCTTGGAATCCAGTGGTATGGCCACTAAGACATGCGTTAATGCCACCTTTATGGTTAGTACATCTAAATATGTTTACATTTTAAGCACAGATACACTTCCTTTAGACATTAGCCAAAGATCTCTCCAGGGCCAAGCTGACTGGGTGGTTTTTGTATGATTGGCTGCCCCAGTTCTCAGTGTTACTGGCTTAATAGACAAAAAAGGACATGGTTGACAGTAACATTTACTGATCAAGGAGTAAAAAGGAAAGAGCATATCCATGAATAGTAGGCAAAAATTAAATTTACACCATTTATTCTAGTCTGTTTCATGGGGTCATCCATGTATATGAAATAAACCTATTTTAAACTGAACATTCCTCAGTATGCTTTCCCATGGAACATGAATTTTCATTCCATTTAGTAACTAGGAGCTTGCAGCAGTACAGGCTCCTGCATTGCACAGAAAGAGGCACATTACCTGTAGTAGAGAACAAAAAACAAAGCGCACCAACCTTGCGCATTACCTCAGTAAGCAATTCATAAATGTATTTAAAAATTATACTCACAAGAGTAGCAGTAAAAAAGGCATATAACATCCAAAACCAAACACAGGGTTAGGAGACACGTGCGAGTTCCATCCGGAAGGGAGATAAACTCTTGGTCAACTGACGCGTTTTGAAGGGGGGGTCCCTTCTTCTTCAGAGCTCTGAGGAAGTAGGGACCCCCATTCGAAATGCGTTAGCTTGACCAAGAATTTATCTCCCTTACAGATGGAAATTGCACGTGTCTCCTAACCCTGTGTTTGGTTTTGGATGTTATATACCTTTTTTACTGCTACTCTTGTGAGTATAATTTATCAATAAATTTATGAATTGCTTACTGAGGTAATGCGCAAGGTTGGTGCGCTTTGTTTTTTGTTCTCTACTACAGTCTGTATCGAGCTTCCCCAGCTTCATGTTAGAGCCACACAATCTTTGATTAGTGTTGGATGAACATACACCATTTTATTCGATTGGCATTCTTCTGATCTGGGTCCCTGAGCGCAGGAGGTGTTGGATGTATTTCGAGAGGCACATTACCAGCAGGAGCTGATAGCCTGTAGCTATTAACCTCCATGGCGGTATTCCCGAGTGTAGCTCTGGGTAAAGTTTCAGTACCAAAAGCGGTAACCCGAGCTACACTCGGGCTTACCATGTGGCGTTGCTCAGGGATTCCCTGCAGCGCTTACCTTGTCCTTCGCTCCCGCGATGCGTCCCCGGCCATCTCCTCTGGCCGATGCCGCATGCCGGCTTCCATGTTCCGGCGGCAAATTTAAAAATTTTAAAAACTGTCATTTTCTAATAAACAAATATTACATAGTAAAACATTACTGTTTCAAAGCATTTCACATACATTTTGTCGCTAGTGCTTTGTCCTGTGCCCTGCCTACATTTTTACTGTTCTTTCTGCCTGGAAACTTAGAAAAGTCCATGGCGTCCAAAAAGCGTCCCTTTATGTCAAAAGCGGTTTTAGACCAGCTAGAGAACAGCGATAGTAAATTAGAACCACTTGCAGAATTGAGTGATAATGATTCGTGGGGAAATTCGTCATCAGACACTGAAAATTGTTTTGCGACTGAGCTCAGCTATGTGCGAACTTGGCGCTATAGTTCAACTTTCAGTGTTTTTGGTTTGATTATATTATTGAATTAAATGTATTATTATATTATTATTTTTTATGATTATTTATTAAATTATAATTTATGATTTAGTGTTTCACGTTTTATCATACCCAGGATGTTTAATAGACTCTTGTTCGGACAGATTTCAGTGAGTTATTCCTAACAATTACAGGCCTACAATAAAAAAACGACATGTGTCCATGAAAAAAAAGTGTACCGCTTCAGCACAGAAATATGGACATAATCATACCACTAGGGAGGTTAAAGGATAAGTACACTTTCAGAGAAAGGACACTTATTTTGTTTGCCCCTTTAAACTGACCTAATAAAATCTCACCTCCCCCTTCCAGAGATGCATACTTGCCTCCATCCATCTGCAGGAATTCATTACATCCTACACAGCTGGAGACTTATGGCTTGTTCACACTTGACTAAATTTCTAATTTTTAACAAACATTCCTATAGCGTTAGTATGGGTGTTAGACAGGCGGAGCATCACCATCGACCTGAATGGGAAGCACTGAAAGGCTTCAAAACTCCTCCAAACTTGACATGAGGCTTCAATTTTGATAATGTGAACAGCACTGTGTGCTGTCCATAGTGTAATTTGTATAGGCATTTGAGGAGCATTGAAAACGCCCGTCAAACTCCTGCTTTCAGTGCCAGTGTGAACTAGGCCTTAGGTGGACAAGCTGTATAGACTTTTATGGGGATGTGATTTGTAGGTGCGATCAGGAGACAGAGGATGTAAACAATCCCCAGTGGTGGATCAAAGTATGCAAATGTAAAGTATACTTACATTAAAAAACAAATTCATTAGCTAAAACTGTTTTAGAAAGTATTGTAAGCTGTAAAATGCACATTTACAAACATTTTGACTTGACATCTTATAATAACAGTTATAGGAAGGGAATGTATTAAAATAGTGTACCAAGTAAAGTCTTAGGCTCCATGTACACGGGACATTTGGAAAACACTTCTGAACGATGGAAACTGATTGCTAGAAAACATAGGTTAAAAACCGTTTGTTTAGCCGTGTTTGCATACTGCGTTTGCGTTTAGAAGCGTTTTTTTAAAGATAACCTCAGGAGACCTTCCAAAATGCCCAGAATGCACTGAAAGACAGTAAAAAAAATTTACTATTTCAGACATTTTGAAAGAATTATAGAGAGCAGAAGCTGAGAGAGCAGTATGTGTTGGGATGACCTGTCTTTTCTGGTTGTATTCACTATGGATCCCATCATGAGTATAACACAGCACGTTCTACCATTTTATCCTTCACGTAAAACCTAGAACTGACTGCGCTGGTGTACCGGGTCCATTTGAATACATGGAAAACACTTTGCATGCATTTCTGATGATGAAAAAAGGCTCTGGACAGCATTTGGATATGGAACAGTTAAAAAAACGCTTCTAAACGCAAATGCTTATAAACGCGGTTAGCAGCGCTTACAAGCGTTTGATGTTTGAAACGCTGATAAAATTACCCCTGAATGCAAGTTTGGTGCGTTGAAAAAAAAATGACTGTAAACTCAACCGCCTGTAAACGACTGTAACCCACATAGTGTACATGGACACATAGGAAAACATTAGGGAGAGTTCAGGGGCTGCTAAGAAAAAAAAACGCAGAAAAGCTCCTGAACGTGAGTATCAGCTGCAGTGTATATGAACCCTTATATGTCTAAACAAAGTGTAAAATTACTTAGGTAGGCAAATTATTGCTATTGTCAGGCCGACCAATACATACTGACACTGCTAATTTGGCCTGGAGATTTTAGTTTCAGTGACCTTAAGTCATAGATGGAGCAGGGACTGGCCAAAATTTGATCCATCTATGTGCATGCTGGTTGTTCTGAAGTTGATCCAGCGATTGACTTTAGCATAACTAGACTGTTGGATTTTTTGCATGCGATTACTGCTGGCAGCTGTAGCCGCCAGCAATATTCATTGTGTTCTGCCTGCAGAGAAGGCTGAATACAGCAGCGTCAGTGTTGATGGGTGAATCGAGCAATTTTCAGGTTGCAGGAAAGAAAATCACATCATCTATGTCTTGCCTTAAAGTAATCAACCTTTATAGTAAGTGTGAAATCTAGTTACTAGAAGTGACCACAACTCTGTAGTCTCTAAAAACTTTTCCTTATGTAGATGTCAGCTGTTTAGGGTCTTATGGTTTCTATTAAATATTTACAGGCATTTAACCGTGGAAAGCGTGAAGGGGTATTTTTAAAGAGCGTGGAAAATGCCCCACTGGCTAAGAGACGCAAACTAAAGCAGTGCAGCACTGGAGGTGATACACGCAGCGGATCGTCCTCTTCTTCTTCATCATCATCATCAACAACAGCCACAATCACAGCCCGCTCTCCTAAATCTCGAGCACCTCCCCAGAATCATAGACCAGCAATTTCGTAAGGTTTTCACTTGATTTACTTACACTACAGGCCATGCTATTTTCTGGACGTGGAGGACCACGGGAAGGGGGCCTTTCTCCATCCGGATATTCACTTCTAACATAATTGCTGGACAGAATGTATTTAAAACATTTATGGATTTGTATGCGTGTGAGTAATACAGTGATCATACAAAGGCATGGTTACAGCTAGGAAGTGGCTCATGCAATCCAGATCTGTCCAGTATAATTTATGTATTGAGGTATACATGGAAATGACATATTAGACACTAGCCATTATTCAGTATCAGTGAATTGTCAGTCTTCCCTTCCGGTTTCAATGTGCACCTTTAGGGAAGGGCAGAATAAGTTTTGCCTTGATTCTTAGCTGTAATTGGGTTGTCTGCACCAGCATACTGTATATATTCCAATGTTTCAATTTGCTGCAGCAGCACATTTGTTCAATTTAAACTCTTTGGTATTACATTGTACATATATAGGATGTTAAGATGGACTGGCATATTAACTCAGATAAGACGTAATTCCTTTTCTCCTTCCTGTTTGGTGTCTATCTTTCTGGAGCTTGTTTATGCGGAAGTGGCCAATTCAGGTAGCTCTTCGGCTGCGTACTTCATTGATTCTCTTAACTGGCTTAGCTGGCAAATTCTGCAGATATTTATAAAGCTGCATTAAACAAACCAGCAATATAAAAAAAGAGTACTGAAAGTGGTGAAACGAATTGTAAAAAAAAACAGCAAGAGAGATCAGTACTGGCAAAGTAGAATAAAACCCTGGCAAAATAGGTGCGCATTTACAAACTTACATATGCCACTTTAAGTGGTGTGCTTGTCCTGTACATTGTGTGTTTCTTTTTGCCACCACTTTTAAATGCTGAAAAATCAATAGATTACATGAAAACAATATTTCAGATTTTTTTTTACAACAGTGAGGAATTAAAAGGGGTATCTAAACTGTCATTTTAAAGTTTATAAATAAATCAAAGCACTGATGGGGGTAAAACCAGCAAAAATGCGTCAGACCGGCTATTTTGGGCCTTTAGAAAGAGGCTCTCTTGTACATAATAAATCTGTGGCGGAGCTGCTAGAGAGTAGGGAAGATGATTGTAATAATTATAGGATGATTTTTGCAGTAACGTCCAGTCCTACACACCCCAAGAAACAACATAAAAGATGTTTGTTGAATTTGGAGCTCTAGTTCTCAAAAGGATGTTGATGAGAAATATACAAAGTCTGGCTTTACCAGCTTTTTTATGTATAGAGGATTGTGTTTAGTTATATCAAATATACGGATGACCTATACCTGCCACCTGCACATCCAGCAGTTGTACGTCATTAAAAAATACAGTTGTACAGAATTTGCAAAACAAATACATTTTTTTAGCATTTTAAAAGTTTTTAATTGATGTATTTTATTTTAGAGCTTTTCAGAAATACTGTATGTACATTGGCATCTGTGTATGCGTATTTGAAGAGTGTAGTATACGTTTGCTTTGTATCTATAGAGAGTAAATATATCTATGCAGAGCAGTATTCACCTGGAAATGTGCGTAGGTTCATGTATAAATATATTGTTAATAATTGTGCTGTGTATAGCTGTATTGTATCCAGAATGATATGTCGGTGCAAACTAAAAAAAAATGCTTTTAGCTGAGCAGATTATTTGAGCAGTGTTAGAGGCTGACACTTGTATGTTGTTTATGTATTGGTTATCAGCCTATCATTTCCTTGTGCCACACACCTTTTGAAACATGTGTGATTTAAGGGTCAATATTTGGAGAGCCATCTATAGTTATTGAACATACTGACTGTTAGAATGTAGGGACGTGGAGGGTACTCTGTAGTACTAAACCTTGCTCTGCAGAGTATCTTGTCAGTTGTAGTCAGCTGGGGCCTTCGAGTGCATCAACCAGAGCTCTCTCTATAGCTGAGCCTCCATAATCAGATCCTTGCAAGGTGTCACTGTGTTTGCGCCATGACCTGAGAACAAAACAAAATAATGCACTTTTTATATTTTTCAGATATAATCTGTATTTTATAGAGTTGCTACAGAATATTTTTCTATGCTGCAGATTGTCCATCTTTAAGGAAAGGGCTATATGCCTGCTAATAATCTAGTTTGTAAACATTGGTTGAAAACCAGTACCTGTGCCCCTGTGTGCACTAATTATTGTAGCAGATTGGGGTGAGCCAATAATCACCCCAGATATGACTCCCATATCCAACCACATATAGGAGCAGCTGGAACTTGTGTATGAATTAGTTATACAAAGATTTCTCTTGCCTCATACACAGTTTAGCTTAGGCTATACATATCCAGAAATCTTCAGTTTAGACTTACTGGGTAGAGCAGCTATATCCACTGGTGTATATGAGCACTTAGGAGCAAGGTAATGGAAAGGAATGCTTTTCAGGGGTCGAAATACAGATTGTTGAATATTTTTGTCCCTGGATTCTTATGCTGGCCATATGTGGGTTAGATTGACTGTTTTTCTGTACGAAAAGCTATTAAAGTGGTTGTAAAGGCTCAAGGTTTT